GCAAGAATTAAATAAAAGGAACGTAAATGGACCCGTCAACTCAATCACCAGAAAAAGGCAGCATATGGGAGAAACAGAATAGGAGAAAGCTTTCCCAGTTTCTGTTCAATTTCATTGAGAAAAACTACGTGCCAAGATGCAACATACGGTCTGCAGAAAATTAGGAAAATATGTATCAGAAAGAAACTAATCACAGGCATGACTTTACCGCTGCCGGCTTTTAAGAGTTGGGTGCATTTTCTTCAGAACACACACATGCTCAGTTTCCTATCTTGCTTTTTCTACTTCACTTTATACAGTGTTTCCCCACGTTATTAAAAATCCCTAGTGGACATCATGTTAAGTGACTGCATACCACAGGCATTGATCAATTACTCTTTCCAAAACACTATAAATTGGTGCTTTGGAAGGACGGCACAGGGGAAAGGAGGTGAGTTGAGAACCTAAGCGCCAGCCCTTCCTCACTGTTCTCCGTGTAAGGCCAACTGGCCCGAGGCAGGGGAATGCAATCAGACTCACAGGTTGAAACTGCCCTGGAGGCTTTCCGGACCACCCAGTTCCAGGAACTGACCTGGGGACTTTCCACCCCGCCCAGCCTTCCCGCCTTTCGAGGGGCGGGACTAACGGTCCCCCAGGATACCCGAAAAGACCACCAAATAAAGAATAACCTGCGTCCTCCCGGATTCGCCACACCCCTTTCCCTTCTTCCCCTATAAATTCTGCCCAAACCCTCGTCCGGGCGTGACTTCTCTGGCCCCTTTCTCTCGGACCAGTGAACCTCGCCCGGGAGCGTTCCCAACTAAAGCTTGTTTAAGCTCTCCTCCGTCTTTGGTGCCGTTCCTTACACTCCCGTGCTGAGTTCTGACGTTAGGTCAAAGGTGTGGCATCTTGCTAATCTCCAGTTTGGGAAAAATAAAAACCTGTGCTGGGGACGGGGTGGGAGGGAGGTCTCTGAATTCTGTGGTGGCAGCCCATGCATTGCTTTGTGCTACAAACCATAAAGCCAGTACACAAAACGTTCCAATTACTAGTGGCATCTATATATATTTTTTAAGGTCAGCCGTCAAGGGCCTCAGCACTTCCTGGAATCACAGTGAGTGGGCCTTCAGCTGTACCTTAAATTTCCTACCTTGACTGGTGTGATGGCTCCTTCGGAAGCTCTGTAGAGCTATTATTATAATCATCTCTCCTGTTAGAGGGTCATTTTATTTAATTTAAAAAAAAAAAAAACCCTCACGATAGCGAAGCTGCAGAAGTACTTTTTAACCGCCATGCTGGCAATGTCCCCCGCTGCGCGATTACAGCGCGAGCCAGGCAGGATCACCCGCGTTCTAGTCATTTAACCCGTCAACCTCTGAGGCATGAGCAGGCATCACCATCGCAAATCAGGTCGCAGAATCTGCCTCTCAGGTGTTTCTTTCTGAGAAGAGCGCTGCTCACCCTCTTGGGTTGGAGCAGTGCGTTGGTGGTGTCATGTGAGACTGTGCTCCCCTGGTCTCCCGGGCGGCAGCACGTGAGAAGCACCCTCCCCCGCGTCCCAAAGTGTGTTCTCATACATTATTCAAGAGGCCAAGTTCAGGCGAAGGAGCGTGGACTCTGGAGCAAGACAGACCTGTGTTTAAATCCTAGGTTTCCGCTAAGTGGCCTGTTCTCGTGACTAGACCAGGGCAGCTGCTTGGCCCCTGGGAGCCCTGGTGTTCTCACCTGTAAAACAGGAAAATAATACAAGCTCCACGGAACCCAGAACTCAGCAAGGGCTCAGGACTGGACGAAAATGGCTAGTGGGAGGCTTCTGTGCTCAGAGCCCAAGGTCGTGTTCAAGGTGAGACTGGCACGCACACGGAGGCCGTATCCCGGGCAGGCCAAAATCTGTACCGTGAATCACACCCCTGCCTTGCGAGGCCCAGGATGATGCTTTTTCAATAAACTGCTGTCTCTTTATTCATCTGATTTTCCAAGCTCATGCTCTGCGTTGCTTTTGGACGGACTTCTGCCCTCAAATCTAAATGGATGACATGCCGATGCTCTTTGAGCCAGCTTTTTTTCTTTCCTTTTTTTCCTTCAAATTAAATTTTAACAAAGAGAACTTGCCTGTACTCAGAGGCATAAATGTCTAGGACTGTTGCTCCTGCTGCCTGATAGGGGCCCAGCACCTGAATAAAAAGGCCATTTCTCTCTGTAACAGGACAATTCAGACACAGACACGGGACCAGAGATAACATGCCCCCTGGTCCCTGGGGGGATGAGGGCTTGCTGGGGAAATGCCTGCCTGGTGTTCTGGCCTGGGCCTTCTGTTTAAAAAGAGAAGCCAGGGCTTCCCTGGTGGAGCAGTGGTTGAGAGTCCGCCTGCCGATGCAGGGGACGCGGGTTCGTGCCCCGGTCCGGGAAGATCCCACAGGCCGCGGAGCGGCTGGGCCCGTGAGCCATGGCCACTGAGCCTGCGCGTCCGGAGCCTGTGCTCCGCAACGGGAGAGGCCACAGCAGCGACAGGCCCGCGTACCGAAAAAAAAAAAAAAGAGAGAGAAGCCAAACTTCCTATTTATAGATGAACGAGTAATGCAGTATCAGTTATTGGTTAAGGCAGGACAACAACATGGGAAAAAAATAGACAAAGGGGTTGAGGTTCAAGGTTATGTCGGAGAAAGAAAGCAGACGGGATTTTTGTTTCATCTCTCCCATCCTCCTAGTATGCGTCTACTTTTAAAAAATACCATTTAATTGGGTCTTGTTGGTTTCTAAAACAAAACAAGGCAGGGGCTGCGTGCAGGTGAGACCCCTCGCTGGCCATCCCTGCACAGCCTTTTGGGAGCACAGGTGCCACCGGCTGAGGTCCAGACCCCTCTCCAGGCGGCTCCTGTTCGTGTGTGTGTGGGTCCGGGAGGCCCCGGCAGGCGTCCTGTTAGTGTTACGCTGGTGAGAGGGGCTGGGGACTCTCGCTGCTCAGCTCTTTCTCTCTCTCTACAAAGCTCTGCCTGCTTAGAAAAGAGGTTTTGTTCAACTCCTTTTTTGGCCTCGGAGGCACCAAAGGGAGTGATTAATAGGGAACCACCTCGAGGTTTCGATAGGCCACAGCTAGAGCTCCAGGGCCTCGGGGGTCTTTGTTCCCCGGGCTTGCGCTTCGGGTGGGCCCAGGGGGCGGTGGCTGGGCCTCGCCAAGCGCTAGGGCCCGCTGGGGCCTGGACACCAGGGTTTCTCTTGTGAAATCCAGCAGACAGGAGGCAGGGCTGGAGACGGACATGCCGATTCCCGGGGGCAGGGTGCAAGGAGGGCTCCTCGGTGGAGGCGGCACGGCGGTCTGGCCTCCAGGCCTGGGGACAGGGACGCAGCACTGGGCCAGGCTCGGCTAAGCTGTGGGCAGGCTGAACGGGGCTCCTGTGACCACACAAAAGCAAGGCAGGCTTGGGACACAAGCGGAAGGTGACCAGGCACAGGGCGGGGAGTGAGGGGGCGGGTTAAACAGAAAGGAAAGCAGCCTGGCCTGCCCAGGCCTGGAAACCATTGTCCCTGCGGCGAGGGGGCACATGGCTAGATGCTTCCTGGGGTTGCATTTGTCCCCGCGGTGGAGCAAGGGGATTAGAAGGTTCTCCTGTGGAGGTTTGCCTTCCTCAGGCCCCAGGCCCCTTCCCTTCATTCATTTGACAACTGCCAGGCCCCCATTAGGACGGGAGCATCCTTGCAAACTCAAGCCGGGCGCCTGGCAGCATCTGTGGAGACTGTGCCTGGCCCTGACCACGTTCGCAGGCGCAACGCAGAGGGGAAACGATGACATGGCTGACGGCGACCTCCCTGTAGCACGGAAGTGTTTCACGGCATGTTTTCAGAGAAGGTAGAGCATGGTTGATGCGGGGAGTGTCTTAGTCGGCTCGGCTGCTGTAACAAAGACACCATGGACTGGGGGGGCTTAAGCAACAGACATTTATTTCTGACAGTCTGGAGGCTGGGAAGCTCAAGAGCAAGGTGTCAGCTGATCAGATGTCTGGTGAGAGCTTGCCTTCTCTCCGTGTCCTCACGTTGCATGGTGAGAATGAGAAAAATTGCTCTTGTGTCTTTTCTTATAAGGGCACTAACCCCATCCACGAGGACTCCACCCTCATGACCTGGTTACCTCCCAAAGGCCCCATCACACTGGGGATTAGTGTTTCAACAAATGAATGGTGGGGGGTGTGTGCGAATAAACATTCAGTCCACAGCAGGGAGTAAGGCTACCTGGGTGTGAGCCCTGGCCCTGCTCCTTATAAGTCATGTGGCCTCGTGCAAGAGGCATGGCCTCTATTTCAGCGTCCTCAGCTGTAAAGTGGGGGTTTGTTGTGGCTGAACTGCATTTTCTCCAAATTCGTATGTTGATGGCCTGAGCCCCAGTGCCTCAGAGCGGGACCTTATCTGCAGCCTGGCCTTTACAGAGGTGAGTAAGGCAAAGCGAGGGCACAACATGGACCCTAATCCCATGGGACTGGTGCCCTTATACGAAGAGGAGGTCAGGACACAGACACGCACAGAGGGATGACCATGTAGAGACACAGGGAGAAGACGGCCATCTCCCAGCCAAGGAGAGAGGCCTCAGAGGAAACCACTATTGATCTCAAACTTGCAGCCTCCAGAATTGTGAGAAAATAAGTGTCTGTTGTCTAAGCTGCCCCATCTGGGGCATTTATTATAGCCGCCTGAACTAAGATGGGGTGATAACAGTACCTGCCTCCCCCCAAGGCCGTTCTGAGCATGCAGTGATGGAACACCTGGGGAGCAGCTGCAGGCGGCATGTCGCATGCCACAAAGGGCTTCAGCCCTGAAAACATGCCACCCCTGTGCCATGCCCGCCCACGTCTAGGCAGAGCTGCAGACACAGCATCCAATGGCCACTGTCCCTCGTCCCCATCCCCGTGTACAGACCTGGTTAATGGCTTTACATGGCGAATGAATCAGGATGCGGGTTCAGCCCATCAGGCACCACAAAACCCAACTCAGGATGGTCTAAACAATGCCGAAGCGTGTCAGTCACATACCTGGGATCTCGGTACAGATGGAATTTCGGTGTGGTTTGACCCAGGGCTCCACCTTCCTCGGTTGATGATGACGCCGGAAGCCTGATGGCTGCAGCGTCCCAGGCTCTGCACTGCTCATCCTCTGTCACCGCCCCTGGAGGGGAAAGGCCATTTCTTCTCACGGCTGCCTCGTAGAAGATGGGAGGCCTTCTCTGGAAACTCCTACCAAATGCCTGTTTCAATTGGACGCCTGATCTTTCCTGAATGGCTCAGGGAATGGCAGACGGTGACTCAGAATCATTTGCTGGCAGGTCACCCTGTGTGGTGTAGACTCAACTGGACCCACCCCAGAGCTGGGGTCAGCACCTCTTGCCCCTTGATGGCTCTGTAACGGGTGAGGGCTACAGGAATGCTGGCCACTTAACGATGTGGTCCACTGAAAGGGGCCATCTCACCACCTCCTGACGCTGTCCCACAAGGCAGGGACCACTGTCATCTCCAATTTAAAGGTAAGGAAACAGAAGCTCATGGACACAGGTAGGCAGGAGGTAAAAACTCAGGCACTGGAATCCAGCTCTCAACCTCAGGCCCGCTTTGCAGTGTAGACAGGCCACAGAGTCAGGACAGTGAGATCACAGGGGCAAACAAACCCACTAAAACCCACTGCCAACCTTCCTCAGAGTCAGACTACCCGAGAGCATTCTGGTGCAGTTATTTCCTGCTATTTTTATTGTACTTAATTTCCTCCCCAACCTTTAAAAATTGAGACATGTAACTCACATACAAAAAGACACATACGTGCAGTGCTGCAAAACAAAGGACCACAAGTTTAGCAGCTAAAACGTACACACATTTCCAACCTTGGTGTCTGTGGGGCAGCAGTCCCGGTATACTGCTCAGCTGGTCTTCTGCTCAGGGTCCCACGTGGCCACGATTGAGGTGCTGGCCCAGCTTCTTCTGGGCTGCTGGTTGCCCTCAGGTCCCAGAAGCTCCATGGTTCCCTGCCAAGCGTCCTTCTCTGGGGCCGTTCACAACATGGTTGTTTGCTCCCGAGAGGCCAGCGGGAGAGTCTGTCTCCAGTTGTCATGGGGTCCTGGGAGTGATGGGCGTGACATCCAACTCCCTTTACATACGATGCGACCCACAGGGAAGGGATGACATCACAGTCCTTTCACCAAATTCTACTGATTAGAAGCACATCGCAGGCCCCGCCTACACTCATGGGGAGGTGATGATACAGGGCATTGACTCATGGGGGGCGCAGGGGTGTTTCACCTTCCCGTGTGTCTAAGTTTAACCCAGAAACAGAACATCGCCTACCCTCCCAGAAGCCTGGCTTACCCACCCCCAGGTCCACTTAGAGGTTAGACCAGTGTGGAGTTGGAGCCAGTTAGAGCTGATCGTTAAAAATTCAGGAATTCCATGAGCTAGCTGTTAAACACAGATGTTATAAAGCACTGAATTATATAAACTTAGAGTGAAATCAGTTCTATCAAAAACAAGGTCTCAAAACTCACCACTTCATGATTACTTTACTAAAACCCGTGCTTTTGAGGTTACTCACATCTCTTGTACCTGTATGGTGGAAATACTTTCCCTAACTCTGCATTCAAGGTATTTCAAGTTGGTTCAGATGCTCCCAAGTTGGCCATTAGAGAAATAGTTACACTGGGGAACTCTGAAAATGCTACAATTCAGAGACTGAAGGCCAAGTGAGGCCCTTGCTCAAGCGAAGAATGGCTTTTACATTTTTAAAGGTTGATAAAATATAAAACAAAGACTATGTGCCAGAGACCACTGGTGTCCGGCAAATATGTATCTGGCCCTTTGTAGAAAACATTTCCCAACCCCTAGCCTAATAATGGAGAAAATTAACAGTGCAGCTAAACTTAAAATTGTGTCCAGTTTTTAGCCATTATATTATGACTGGCACAAAACATTCGTCCAGTACTGGAAAAATGATCCAATACAGCAAAGAAGTTGCTCACATCGCTGATGAATAAAGATCTATATCTTTTTGGTTCATTTCTGTCTCACTCATCGATGTGATTAAACCAACCAAAGTTTGTATCACATATTACACTTAATGACAATAAATTTATTGGAAAAACAGTGGGTTGGGAGACAACTCAATTTGATAGATTATGATTGAATTTTAACCATAGGTTGGCCATGGATACAAGAGTTCAGCAAAAATAAGCAATGGCAACATCTGAGGATCAAATGGCTCCAGGGAATTTACAAGAAAGAGTACTGTGTTTTACCATTTTTGGTAGGCTGTGTACTGCACATGCTTTTTACTAGTTAAAATTCATAATAAATGTGTCTACATATGCACTCCTCCCCCTACCAGCTGTTAAACATGTACCATCAGCCTGAACTGTGGGCGAGATACTTCCTGATTTCCTTTATAATTTAACCACTTTTAGGTTTCCTCTTACCTAGGTGTGGCCCATCTTCCTTAGGACCTGTGGCAACGTCTGGTACATACTAGGTATTTTAAAAATACGGAAGTGGGTAAACTTCTGAGAAACACTAATTTTACACAGCAACCAGCAGTGGCAATGCAACTGTGAGCCTTTAAGATAAAATAGCAGAAAAAAAGGGGGAACGTTTCTTTGCTTTTCAATCTCTATAAGGCCCTGCTCAAATCTGTTTTTGTTTTTTTTTGCGGTACGCGGGCGTCTCACTGTTGTGGCCCCTCCCGTTGCGGAGCACAGCCTCCGGACGCGCAGGCTCAGCGGCCACGGCTCACGGGCCCAGCCGCTCCGCGGCATGTGGGATCCTCCCGGACCGGGGCACGAACCCCCGTCCCCTGCATCGGCAGGCGGACTCTCAACCACCGCGCCACCAGGGAAGCCCACAAAGGTTTGTTTTTTTTAAGGCCCTTTTCAAATCTGTTTATACTTAACGGAATAAAGTCAAAGAACAACAACAACAAAAAGTTAACAGCCATAACAGTGACTACCACTGACTCCTTGCTTACTACGGGCCCAAAGGTGTTTCTCACGTAGAATCCCATAATTCACCCTCCGTTCATTTATTTTACTAAGCATTTTACAGCGCGCCTATAGGAAACCAGCGGTGTCGGCCCTCCGGGAACTTAAACTCAGGCTGGGGAGGCGCAGCCGGCCTGCAGACCACCCCCCCCCGCCCCGGCCCGCGCGGATGCCCCCAACGCGCGTCACAGCCCGGCTGCCGTGCACGTCCGGCCGCGGGCCCCCGCCAGCCCCGCACGTGTGCCCCCGGAGGCTCGCCCCGCCCCCTTGGGGACCCGGGCGCCGCGGACCCGCAGCCGTCACGAGGACGCAACGGACCTACGCCCGGCTCCCGCGCAGACCGGAAGGCGCGTCGTGACGCGTTGTGCGCAGGCGCGACGTGCAGCGCAGAGCACCTGGCCGCCGCTAGGAGACGCTGGGGCCGCCAGCGCCTTGGGGGAGGGGAGGCCGCCGCGCCGGGACCGGACCACGTGCGCACCACGTGGCGCCCCCTGCAGCCCCGGACTGCGGTAGGGTCGCCGGACCGGCCACGCCGCGCAGCCAGCAGCCCGCAAAGGCGAAGGGCTGGGTCTCCCCGCCGGCGCCCCCGTTGACCTCTGACCTCTAATCTCACTACCGTTAGGGTCACCCCTTGCCGGTGGCCGCGCGGTGTGTTTATAAACAGAACTCCCGGCGGGGCCAAAACCCCGGATCGCGGATTCACGCCCGGGGGAGCGGAGCTTTCCGTGCCGTTTGCCTTCTGCGCATGCGTCCTGCGGGGCGCCGGCCGGTTCCTCCTGCTTTTGCGCACTGGCGGGCGGGGCGGGCCGCCGCGCCGGGCGGGGTCGCGCTGCCGGGAAGGGGCTGGCGGCGGCCGGGAAGAGCTGGATGAGGCGGCTGCAGCCCTGCCCACGGCCCTGCCCGGTCCTTCCCCACCCTTCCTGGCTGTGTGACCTGGGCAGGCCGCCTGCCTGCTCTGAGCCGGGTCCTCGCCTGAACGGCGGGTCACAGATGGTGGTCGCACAAGTGAAATACTGACCTTCCCTGGCTGTGTCCTTGGCCCGTGTTGACCCCTCGGGGCAGTGTCGCCTGGCCCTGAAGCGAGCCTTAAACATTTCCGTCCACCCGTGTTGACAAGTGGGTGAACAAAATGTGGTATCTACCCGCAGTGGAATACTATTCAGCCTTAAAAAGCAACGGAGTAAAATTTGTGTTATGCATATATATATATATATATATATATATATATATATATATATATTT